TGCAGCCTGGTGGCCCCTCAAAACTCCTGGCATGAATTATCTGTCCTCCAAGAAAGCCTGCTGATAAATCAGTCAGTGAGACCCATTTTCTTTCTGGGGCTCAGTAATTGTTACAGTCTCTCCCCGTGCAGTGAGGGCTGGGTTTCTCATTAGCATCTCAGAGAGCCGAAAGATGTGTAAACAGGTGTAGCTACAGAATTTCCTACTGGGTACACATCTGAGGAGGCTCCAGAGCATAAATTACTCTTTCTAAAGTCAGTTTTAAATCATGCTCACTAACAGCCATCTCCTGCCCTTGATCATTGCTCCTAGGATGGCAACAGGAGTTTCACATATGGTTTGAGTGAAGCATGAGCCCTTCAATGGCTCCACATCCACCTGTTTCAGATTGTGTCATAGGTATGTGCTTAAGCATTTCATTAACATTTCCCTTTTTTAATGCTAACCCAAGCCATGCTAGCTCTGCCCATGCATCTGGAAGTTTGCAGCAGAGATGCAACGTGCACCCAAACCTGCCGCGTTCCAGAGGCAGCAGGGTGTGAAGCTGGTGGGTGAGCAAGGCAGCTCTGAAATATTCCTGCTGAGAACTGGATGTTTTGTCCTATTTAAATGAAATAGGGACTCTGTGGATGCAGGATGTGGAGTTTGGAAGACCCGGTCCTAAATGAACAGATTTTTAGGTGTCATCATTCCCCTGTGAAACACACGGTCTGCTCAGGGATCTCAGCTGCATTTCAGGGTAAGCTCTGCAAGGACATATCCAGGTTGCTGCTTCTCCCTCATCAGAGCAGAACTGCACCCCACCTCCTTTATTTTGTGAGGTGGGAGGGTACTTGCTATTTTACAATTGCTCTAGAAAAACCAGTACAGTACCAGGGGCTGAAAGAGCCACCCATAGCCTTTGTTCCACGAGCAGCAGTGTTATCCAGCAGCACGGCTCCGAAGCCTGGCTGGGAGCTGAACAGGTTTTAGCATGTTTTTTTTTCATCTCATTTTTTCTGTCTCCTTTCATTTGGAAGCTCAACTGTCAAGATTAAACCATCCACCTGTGTGGCATACCCCAGCATGGCTGAACTTGATAGATCTGCACAGTTGGATTCTACAGCAAAGATCACAGTTCTGAGTCGTACACATTGAGAATAGTCTACTAATCTTTCCTCCTTCCACTCCTCCCACCACCAAAAAAAAACCAAAAAAACCAAACGTGTTATTCCTTACAGTGCTTTCTCTTTAAGGTATCTCCTGTCAGCAATGTCATGATGGGAATTCTCAGTGGAAGTCTTTGAAAAACTATATTGCTGTTGTTATCTCGTGTCTTACACACAGCATGTTGAAGGGGTTGAGGACAGAAATGTGTAAAAAATTATTTGGAAGGGGGAAAAAAGAGAAAAGTTAGCTATGTGAGATACAGACAGGGTGTTCCAGGCCTGAAACCTCCAAGTACAGCTTGGAAAGAGTGAAGACCTGTGCAGAAAAGGGAAGGGAAATGCAGGACTGGTGCAGGGTGAAGCAGACACAAGCACCAGGTTGTGCTGCAGGGAAGCCCAGAGGTGAAGGCTTCTGCACAGAGGATTTGGTCCTTATGCATTTTAGAGTAAGACAACCATCTGCACAGTGCTGCCCTCCTTCCATGGGAAAACACAACAGAAATGACATGAGCTGCTCCAGGACCTTAAAACCATCCTGAGAGAAACCTTGACATTCAGCCTCCTCAGTTCTGGGCTTGGAGTAACACATATTTCTCAACATTTCCTCCACACAGTGTTTTCTCCCTGTTGGTCTCCAGCGTTACCACCTGCTGCATAATTTTAGTTGCAAAATCTGGTGCATTCAAGTCTACCTTCAAACTTGTGTTACAGTGCTCATGGCATCAATCTCCTTTCCATTCCTCAACCCAGGCTGTTGCCCCTTTATCTTTTATTCTTACCTCATCTGTTGAACAAATGTCACAGCCACAGTTATTAGAAATATTTGAACCTGACAGCTGCAAATACTCAGAGGTAACTTAATGTGCACAGAACTATAATTAGTTGGAGCATTTAATTTTGTTTTTAAATCACTGACATCCAGTATTGGAATCTCTGCAGACACGGACAATTGATACAGACAGTGTGACTTGAGGAGCTTTACGGTCATTTATTTTCCATGTATGAAAGGATAACTAATACACTCTGCCTACAATGACATATATTGTGCTGCACAAGAAGAGATTTTTGCCTCGCTAAAGCTCAGACCACGATACCTCCACTCAGACCAGCTTCAGCCATGATACCACACTGACTGCAGCAGTCTAAAATTACCCCTGAGTGAGCAGGAACTACAGGCTTGGGCTGAAAAAAAAATTAGTGCATAATAATTACTTAGTGATCGCTGCAGGGCACACTAAAAACATCAGCTGGAATCTCAGACGTTGCTTGAAGTAGGTGTCTCTCATCACTCCTGTCTTATGGAGGGTCAAGACACAGAAGATACCCATTTTGCTCAAGGCAAAGAGATGAGGTTTGAGTCTACAAGCCCCAGCCTTGCATCTCATTATTCAAAGCAGTTATGAGTTCCTTGGGATTGGCAGAAAATAACAATTTCTAATTTGTTGCACCTCCTGCAGTTTGATTTCTCTGGTCAGATGCGGCTTCCTCCAAAGCTTTAGACCACCACCCTACCACACTCTTTGTACACAATAAATCCAGGGAAATTATCTTTCCTTGTCTTACAGCCAGAGAACAGCAGAGATGCTCAGAGCAGAACTTCTCCAAACAGCCCATCCTTAAATAATCCAAATCAAACTTACAAGGAAACCTCATTTCCTCTCCCAGTTCAACATATTCTTCTCTTTGTTGTTTCCTGACAAATCCTTTGAGAACTAGGACATCACAAGTAAATATCTGGTCATCTCTGCTTCTGCACTCCTGACTGATGTAGCTGTATGGGTTGCATAATGTTGCTTTGGGTTTCTAATTGTGAGATTAATTGGTTTACTTGAAGAGAATACACTTGAAGTAATACAAGAAAGAAGATGAAGAAGCAGCAGCCTATAAAATCATTATATCCTTGTAGTTTTATTGATACGGATTAGGAGAAATAGCTGGAAGACAGAGAAGGAATCATATTTAGCTCAGATAATAAAATTATATGAGCTGCCATTTTCATAACATTAAACAAGACCTGAGGGAAGCTTAACTTAAAAGATTACACAGGTGGATTCTTTTCCTTTGGAGAACATGAAAGATTATTGTAAATGTCTTTTTACACAGCTGCCTCTTCAAACACAGTCCCAAGAAATTAGCCAAACAGCCATTTTTCACAGCAAGGCCTGACACACACAGCAGTGTGGGATGGAGCCCTTATTGCTGCTTCTGCTCAGAGCAGGGCACAGAGATGCTTGTTTTGCACATTATAAGTTGTACATTATAAGCTCCTTGCCACTGCCCTGCATGCCATGACTGGGGCACTGCAGAGCCTGGTTTGTGAGGCTCCAGGGGCACCCCCAACCATGGGAGTCATGTGCTGATGGACAGAGCCAGGGCATAAATATGTGGTGATATATTAAGATATATCACATACCCACTGCCCTTGGAACAGGGTTCTGCAAGCACCCAGGTAATGCCTGCAGGCAGGGGTCTTTCTTTTCCCAAAAAGAAAGGAGTACTAATGAGCAAGGCACAAATGAGGAGAAGGAGAAAGCAGCTCTCAGTGCCCTCCCAGCACATGCTGCTGCTGCTGGCTACCAGGGGTTTAATTCATTTAACAAAGCTAGGACAAATGGTTGGGTAGAATGTATCCAGGGTTGGTTGAAATAAGCAGTTTGCACACCCCCCCACCCCCCAAGACTTTGCTGCTCAGTAACCCACTTTTTTGGGACCATATTCTGTCAAAATGCTCCATCTGAGCTCTTGGTTTAGGTATTCTAGTCCTTGGTTTAGCAGAAATTCAGTCATATACCAAGCTTGGAAAGCAAGCAAGTCTCACTTAATATGAGAGATGAAGCTTACAATTTAAAAACAAGGTGGAGAAAAATAGCAACTTTTCTGTCCTAGGAACAGAAGAAATTCCCAAACAGTCATTTCCCTGGGCTGGGGAATTTGTTTTGATTTTTACCTTGATGTTCACTAACTGAAAGCACGAAGATCCAAAGCCTATGATGAGAGCAATAACCATTCCAAGACATTTACAAATGACCCTCTTAACTGTTTATGAGACATTATCTGAGGTAAAGCAGAGTAGGAGAAATAAACTTGAAGTAGGAAGAGCTGGCTCGCCTCCCAGATGGAGCATGATAAAGCACCAGTGTCAGTGTTTCTTCTCAGTTTTATGGCAGCCTTTAACTGCTTGGTGTTTAGGATTTTTTATCAGAAAACGGAAAGGAGAAGGAATGGATCCAAAGCAAAGAGGTTTTCACAAACAATATTCTCCAAATGACTTTATGTGAGCAGATACTGTGTTATCTGGCTATCAAGATAACACCATTTATTTTTTTACTTGCCACAGCAGCCTGCTGCTCAGATTCCCAGTCCTGGGATGTACGAGGAATTCCTGAGCACAGCAATAAATTTTCAAAGGGATCTGGATTACCCCACTGCTTCTTTCCTATTAGAAAATATCCTGAACAAAGTTGATCTCTGGTCAGATTTACCTCATCAAAAAGATTTCTATTGTCTCTCCTAAATAGTGTGTTAGTTGTCGGTTCCCATATTTAGCAAAGCTCTCTGGATTTTGTTCATCTCCCCCAAAAAGTTAATGAATGGCCCTTCATGGAACCATGGGAATGGGATAATTTTTTTTACACAGAAAGCTCTCCTGGAAGTTGAAATTATATAAAAACTACCTCGCTTCTTACTTTTCCTTAGCTCAAAGTATAAACAACCTTAAACCACAATTTTTCACTGTCCCTTCACAATATTTTCAACACTACTTTGAGAAAAAAAAAAAGGGTAAAACTCAGTTGTTCCAGTTTATTCATTGTGTTGGACATATTGGATGAAAAGCTTCATGTTTCTCTATTTCAGTTTTATAAAAACTTTATTGAAATCGTTGTCAAATTTACAGAGTGAACAGAGTTTTGACAAACAAAAATGCCTAGATGCATTTAAACAACATTTTTCTCATGCTTCCTCATTCTTCTCATGCTTCCTTTCTTTCTCGTGCAACTTGGAAATGCGTCAAGAAAATGCATTAAAGAAACCTGGCAAACGGGGGAAAAAAAATAAAATACTTCAGAAAGAGAAGACTTTATTTACACATAAACAGAGGGCTTGGGTTTTCCACCCCACCGATGCTCACAGCACCTCCCCTGTCACATGCCATGAGGTGCCAGCAGGACCAAGGGATGGGTCATGGGAGGAGCAGAGCAGAGGGAAGTGCTGGAAATCCTTCCACCTTCTCTGACTGAGGCTGAAATCAGTTCATGAGGACAGAGCCAAAGAGCTAAGGAAACTCCATGGAGCCAATTTTTGGTTGGATCCAACATCACAGGCTTCTGCCAAGTCTGGTGTAAATTTATCATCAGTTCTCTTAAAACCGGTTTTCTTCTTATCCCTCATTGATTGGTTGGGTTTAGCTCCCTCAGACCGAGCTACTGTCCAGAGGCAAACGGGGAAACCACTTCTCTTGGAGAATTTACCTGAGAGCAAAGCACTTTGTGGGTTGTTACAACAAATGATGGGTTAGAGAATAAAAGAACCAGCCATTCCCATGCCATTAGTGCCCTCAGTCACTCTGCTGCATGACACACTCCCACAGCTGAGTCTTTCTTTCTCATGGATAAACTACATCCCTCGGAGCAGCATCGCTCCTGATTTCCACCAGGACAGCTGAGCTCAGGCTCTGATCCAACAGCAACTTCTTTTATCGGTGTGGAGCTGCCCAAAATGAGCTCTGTGCTTTGTAGCACGTGCTCCTGGCAAGCTTTAGGTCACCCACATGGCTCCCGTGGTGGATGGGCACACACAGCTCACCCGGGGATGGGATTGGGATGCCCCAGGCTGCACAGCCATGTGGGAGCACACGGGGTCTATGTCAGTGGCAGGGCTACTGCTCCAGCCACACACCAGATGCTGGAAATCCTGGATAAATATGTAAAATCCCCTAATTCCACTGGTATAAAGTTTCCAGGCAGAAAAAAGAAGACGTGTCCAGGGAAACGGTGCAGCAGCCTGGACTTCAAGCCTTCAGTTCCAGGGATTTCAGAAAGCCCTGAATCAAAATTTCCACTAACACCATTTAAAAATATACCCTCCCCAGCCTGCAGGACCCCAAGTGAAGAGCTAAGAATTACTTGAGTGCACAGTAAGGAAAAAAAAGTCCCAGCCAGGCCTCTGATCCTTCAGGATCACAACAGGTTTGGGGAACATGGAGAGGAAAGTGATGCCATCTCTGCAGTGGTGGGATTTCCCTGCAGAGATACAATCCTGCTGGACTTTACATCTTCCCCACACACAGAGCCTCACCACCACACTACACATTTTAACTCACTCCAGTTTCTCTCATGTTGAACCAGAGCTGCCCCAAGTTATATTGCAGCATGTTTGACCCCTTTTTTCTTCTTTGTTTTCACCTCCTAGTTGTGTTTTTCTCCAGATGAGGATGAAGTTCATGGAAATGCTTATGTGAACCACCTCTTCAAACAGAAATGACTAGAAATGTTCATTCACTGCACACCTTTTAACTACCTAGGCAAGGAATAAGTTTTTTCCCCAAGTCCAGCCACCCAGTAAGAAGTTAAGAAACAAATTTCTCTAAGATTTTAAACTGCGATTCTTCTGCCTTCATTATTTACTGGTAGAATAAAATATAGCATCCAACTGTGAGGAAAGCAGTAAATCCTTATACTTAGCACAATCCCATTCCAAGCAAACCCCCAAGATCTGCACCACTTTTGAGCACAGCCTAATGGCTGCAAACGTTATTTTAAGCATCTCAGCACATCTCCACTGAAAAAGAAAATTAACTACTTTGTTTGAGATCTGTGAGTTTGCACCAAGCAAGCTGATGCCTCTGTAAAATATATCCCACTGCCCAAAGCACATTGTTTGGGTACCAGAAGCTCTGAGTATTTTGGGTACCAAATGCAGCCCTGAGCCTGGGATAACTCATTTGGAGCAGCAACACGCTGTCCATCTTCGCTGCCTTTGACTTGCTGTTTGCTTGTGTAGGTCTTGCTCGAGGGTATCTGCACCACAACCCTCTGCACAGACTACATGTCTTTCCCAGACTACACATCTTTCCCAGTGCAGCAAAGTTAACCTCAGTAAAAAGGAAAAAAGGACAGAAAATCTCTTTCTCAATGTGAGGCAACTTTACAATTTTTGATTCACGTCATCCAGCACAAGGTTTTTTGGCCATGGAAGTGCTGTTCCCCATTTGCCTTTTAGAGCAAAATGAAAGGAGAGCCTGTGATGCTCACAGTGTGCTGCTCACGGATTGATGCTGAGAAGAGCAACTTGTAAAATAAAAATGGGGGCTTAAAAAATAAAATAGCTTGACGAGGAAATACTTGAGCTGCCTAAAACAGATTTATTTATACTTTTTGGCAAGGATCACGTTTTAATTGGGGTTATTGTTCACGTGAGCCTGGAACTATATAATATTATCCAATAATACAGAGAATCTGACACCAAAACATGTCACAGCACATATTATATTTGCATTTGCCAGGCACGGAATCCCATAAATTGTTGTCTGATAAAGGTCTGCAGTTCAATGGACAAGACTTTAAACAATTTGCAGGGGATTATGGATTTCGACATACAACATTCAGTCACGGTTCTTTGTAATCAGATGGTCTAGTGGGAAAGGGAATTAAGCCTCCAAAGCAGAGCCTGGCCTGAGGCTCTGTTGAACTTGAGAACAGTGCCTTCCAAACCTGGGCCATCCTCCATGAGAGCCTGACAGCCTCGGCTATTCAAACCTCCCAAGGAAGGTGAAGCTGATGGAGGTGTCTCTGAAGATAGGACACAAATCACCTCACAGCTCCAAAGATCCAAGAGGATGTGCAATGTACTGCATCCACGATGCCATTTGGGGACAGAGGAGATTGAGATTTTATGGCAGTTGCTCATGTTTCCCATAAAACTCAAAGCTCACAAGGGGTGACTCAGGAGGAAGCAAGGGGCAATTGCAAGTTATTTCCCTGTAAACAGAGACCTGAACTGGAAAAGGATTCAGCAGCAACACTGCAGGACCAAAAAGCAGCAACAGGGATGGAAATGCTCCTCAGGGTATCAGCCCAAATACCCAGAACTCCTGAAAGATTCAGGAAGCTCTGATACAATAGTCAGTGACACTGTGCTCCCTACCAGCACTGCAGCACACATGGGGCACAGTGGAAAATTTTCAGGCTCGTTATCAAAAAGGAGGGTTGAGTAATCCAGCACTGGCGCCTAATGCTGCAGCGTGGGAGCTGATCCCAGCCAGCGTGCCCTGGGCTCTGCCACCACCCTGCAAGAGGGATGCTCAGCCTCCCTGGGGTACCTTTTTTCCAGGTCATGTCCCAGACTCTGAGGAAAAATGTGAATGAACTCCCTATTTTTTCCTCATGCTTCATTTGGTTTAGTCTAGGCTGGGTCTTGTGGACCTGGTGGCTCTCCCAAGGGAGTGGTCGTGGGGAAATGGGGACCAGCCTCACCTTGGAGAAGCACAAAGCCTTGGCAGCCAAGCCTACTTGAAAATGTCATGAAATCATGGTTCCAGGCAGGAAGACCAGCTCTGGGGCTCAAGTTGTGAGCTCAGTTATACTGACCCTCTGCTAGCAGTCATAATTAGGGGTTGTGGATCATTGCCAGGAGCACGTGCAAAGAACCCAGTAAAACCCCAGTGTGTCAGGGTTTGGAATTGTGCCGTCACAGAGCATTTCAGGAAAGAATGCACTTAATGGAATGAAATGGTAGAAAAGGAATAAAAGCAGGTGTTGCTTTCACAGAGGTCTCTGCACACATTGAGGGCAATAAGAAAAACAGGGATGAAAAGACGGACCAGGGTGTGCAGGTGTACTTGGAAATGAGGACTAATCTAACTACCTTAGACTGTCCTTGCCTTGGTCTGTTGTCTTGGAGCTGCTGAAAAGAGCAGCAAAACATACAGCCTTGAAGATCTTGAATGTCAGCCTGGACACCAAGGTTATGCTCAGCTCTATCCAAAATTTCCACAGGAACATTATCTTTCCCCCTTCTTTCTATGGAGAGTGCTGGAAACCACTTCAAAGAGTGTGTGCTGAACGTGTGCAGTAAGACCAATGCTTTCCAAGTGAACTGAGTGCTGGCAACACAATCCAGGTTGGGAGCAGTGGGAATTGCTCTGCTCCATTTAGTAAGAGTAGAAGAGCACCACATCAGTAGTACAAACAGCCCTGCATCCCACTGCCAGGAATCTTTGCTGGCGAAGGAAGGAAAAGAAAGAGAGGCTCAAAAGAAGCCGTGCACATGCTTGCACCCCATGCTATGGCAATATCTGGTTCAAGATATTTTAATCTCTTTCATGATTAAGAAGCATAATACTCACAGGCTGATCTTTGTTTTCTCCTTGGGGTCTTGCTCTCCCTCTGTCTTGCAAACAAAGGGACCCATTATCTTCAGAGGGACCCTGTGAGCTCCCACACAGCACAGAGCAGAGCAAGTGAGGAATTCCACAGAAGTCCACAGGTAAAAAGTCCAAAAAAGATTGCAAGTCAAGGGTGTTCAACTTCCCTCTGCACTTCTAAACACTCATCAGATCATACTGGCCAAGCTTTATAAATTTTTATCAGTTTTCTGATTTAAGCAAAAGCAAAATTTGCGTTTCTGTTCCTCCAAAACACCAAGAGTTACACTAAGCTGCAAATTCACATGGAAGGGGAATTTTGATTTTGCACTGAATGGCAAGAGCAAAGCAAGTGTTAAACAAAAGACACTGACCTGCTTTTTCCCAGCAATAGTAAAGTCATCTCACTTCCCTTCTGCTGTTCACATTGCCTTGTACAAGTATTTAAATCCTCTGATGTGAGAGCTGATATTGTTCACTGGGACAGCTCAGATATGGGGCATGGCAGGGGGTGGAATAAAACAACAAGAAATTAAAGTGTATCCTGAGAAATAAAAAGATGTATCCTTTTATCATCTGAAAATGAAATTAATCTGATATAAGAGCTGCCTGGAACAACTCTTGACAGCTACCAACAACCCCTACAACAGCTAGTGCAGAGCATTTTGAAATGGAATACAGTGACATTCATTTTACTGATGGGCTCCTGAGGCAAAAAAGGCAAGAAGTGACAGTCCACACACTCACCCTGGAGAGCAACTGAATCTGGGGGCTTTGCAGGTGTAAAACCACCACAGAAGATTGACACATCCTCCTCACCTTACCAGAGCTCCATGGAAGTTTTGTGGAGCAGAACTGACACCTGTGTTAACTTCTATGACATCAGTGATGGGAATGAGGCCATGTCAGTATAAATTAGTATTAGAGATGTGAGCCAAGCCTTGTAGGTAAAAGCCTTGAAATTCTTATCTCTGATCCACCTGTCAGCATGAAAAACAAAATGGTCAACAAGCATGAAATCCAGCTTCTTAGCTACTTTTGGCTGTAAATTTAGAGTAAGGAATACTATAACTATTAAATGATTAATGTCTTCCAAATAGTCATGGAGCTGGAGGCCACGAGGATTTTTTTAATACTGTTCGAGATTTTTCACTGAAATTTTAAGTTTTTGCTGACTAATGATTTAAAAGTTCATTTAATAATTCCATCATACAGAAATGGCACTAAGGAGAAGTGCACACTTCTCAGCCATCCACTTGCCTGGACAAGGGGCAGGGGTGACCTTAGTCCTGCCTGGACCAGTGTTGGTCCCTGAGGGAGGACACCCAGGAGCTTTCACATCCCTGATGCTTCCAGCCATTTGGACACTCCCTATTTGGGGCTTGCAGTGAGCCTGGGACACAGAGCTCATTTCCAAATTGGCTCCAACACCTGATTTCCTCATTGGTGCCATAACAGCCAGGCATTCCTTAGGGTGCACTATTCTCCTTCTTGTTTTTTTAACATTATTAATTGTCCCCATTGACAGTTCTAAAGGGTTGGTTGGTTGGGTTTTTTTCCCCTCTGATAAGACAAACACGTTTGAATCAAACAAGCCTTGACAAATGCTGGAGATACACACTGTGCTGAAATAATGAGGGAGCTCTTTCACACAACACCACAATATGTATGGACAAGTTGTTGCACTGGAGCAGTATGAGCTTGTCAGATCACAGTGAAACGGTATTCACTGAAAGAATAGGTACAAGGAAGAACAGCAGAAAGTATTCTGCTGTACAAACATGCAGCCAAGCAAAACCTTTGGAAGAACAGGACACAAGCAACACTGAACCATTTTCTTTACAATACTGCCTGGTGTCAATAACGCTGCCCACAAGAAATTGAAATATTTTCCTGCAAAAGAGAAAAGCAGTAATTAAGTCTCAAATTTAGTCAGGCCAAGATACACAAAACAGAGAGGATCAATAGCTGCCAATGGCTGCTGCTTTCCAAACCATAAACCTGAAACAAGCAAAATAACAAACATGTTAAAATACATGGGTTTATAGCAAATGTAGACAGAAGTATACGAAGTTACACTTCCCAAATCAGTGAATTGACTTGTGTGTATTCTTAATAATGTTAATTTGCTAAAATCAGGGAAAGGAAAGCGTGACAGTCGTCCTTCCCACCTGTCATGAGCTTGAACATGTGTGTACATAACATGGGCAACCACCTTCACAAAGCACGAGGCAGCCTGACTCACTCTGTCAACAGAACTCCCCAACTTCATAATTATAAGGAGGTGCCAGTTTCGTGCTATTCAAAGTGTATTTTGAAGGGTAAATGCTTTCTGGCCTGACAGCAGAGCTGCCTGAGTCACTGGCCAGGCTGTGCCCAGCTGTGCCCGTTGTGCCCACAGCTCTGCCATGGGCTGGCTGCATGACAGGAAGGAGCAACGCACCGTGTCCAGCTGGGAGCCTCCTCTTCCACCCCTGTACCACCACAAGACTGAACCCAGGCAGCTATACCCACCTGATGCCCCTGGCAGTGCCCTCCCCCGTGCCCTGCCCCTGTGCACAGCCCTGGGTGGGTGTTTCAGCAGGAACAGGCTTGCAGGGAGCTCCTGCCCTCGCTGGAGGGGTTAGGGAAGGAAAGCCATGAAACGGGGCTTGCCGAGGGCACACCTTGTCTGGGGTTCACACGGGTGTTTAACGCAACAAGCAGTGTCACCACCACCCAAAGCAGAGCTGACTCCTCTGCTGGAGGGGAGGTTGGCCACTCCATCTCGAAGGAGCTGTGTATTTGTAACCACCTGCCTCGGGAGGAGGTGCTGACAGGAGGGATGGATTCTCCTGGAGGGAGCTCCTCTCCAGCACACTGACCACAGGCATTAGCTGCTCCTTAACGATGTGCAAGTGGTGGTTTGCATTGAGTCCCTCCAGGCTGATTTAGTTGGACCAGAGGACTCCAACACAATCTGATCTTGCCGGATTTCTGCTCTAGGAGGAAGGTCAATGCCCTGCAGTCATGACCAGGGTGATTCTGAGTGTGAGATGGCCACTGCTGCTCTGAGCCAGGGCTCAATCTTCCCTTCCAACCCAGCTCCCCACTGCCTTCATGCAAAACACAACAATCTCACCTACAGAGACTTGCTGGAGGACAGAGAGCATCATCCACAGGAGCTCAATATGTGACCTTGCCCTTGAGCATCTGCCTGCCCCAGCACGTCTCTCCTGTCACTGATAAGGTGCATCTGGATCCTACTCACATGCCGGAGAAGGAGGAAGGCAAAAATCCTGCTGCTGAGATTGGCACAGCAATCCAGGAGGGAAAGGTCTTGCACGGAACCAGCTGCCCCACAGCCACCACCCAGGGCTCCCAGTCACCTGCTGGCTTTGCTCTTGTCGTTGCTGCAGGCGCTGCTGGTCAGGGGAAGATGATACTGCAACCCAACACAGAAATAATTAACGGCAGGACACCGAAGGGAACATGCCACGATGATCAAGAGCCTGCAGCCTGAGGCAGCCCAGTGTGTCAGGAGGAGGGAGCAGCATCCCTGCGAGAGCTGCCACTCAGCGCTCTAATTTGTAGTGGCCGGGCAGCCCCCGTCGCCCGCCGTCGGAAAACAGCTCCGGGTGGGAATTTACACTGGGAGGAATTAGCAGCCAGCCTGCCCTGGGCTGGAAGGAGGCGTTTCGGGTTTCAGGGCTGCCCATGGGTGATGGGAGCTGAGTGCTGGGAAGGGGGACACGGCACCTCACAGCACCTTCCCACCGCCACCGAGCCCGGGGGCAAACTGCGGGAGGGCTCCCGAGGGAGCACTGCTGGGCAGGTGATTCTCTGACTGCAGACACCCTGGGAGTCTTCCCCCACCATCAGCTTTGACCCTAATAATCCTACAAATAGCCATTGGGGTTTAACTTCTGCTCCCGGTTAAAAAAAGACGCAAGAAAATGAAAGCCATGGCAAGATGTTATCTCTGCAGCAGCTCGGTGAGTCCTGCTGCCTAGGGAAGGGGGAAGAGTTGGTTTCTGGCTCCCTTTTCCCTGGGATGAAGGAGAGGAGCCAAGGAAGGATCTGGAAGAAGAAAGGCAAAGCAGGCTGAAAACACAGCTTGGTCCAAGAAGCTGCAGGAGGTGGGAGAGGAGCAGCAATGACAGCCACACCAGGGCATGGGGACCTGTGTGTGTCCTGAAGGACACCCCACAGAGACAGCCCTGCCCACCCAGCTCTGCTAGGAGCATGCCAGTCAGAGTCCCTCATGGCAGAACACTGGCAGGGAAGGGACTGGAAAGATGTTTGGAGGGAAGCAGAGGACCACAGTAAGGCAGCTGGGGTGGAAAGCATGGTTTGAGTTCTAAGGAGAGGATAATAAGGCCAAGTAAATATTGCTCAGCTGGGGGACAGCGAAGAGGACAGAGCAGCCTACAAGTATCTGGAGGCTGTAAACATCAAGGAGGGAGAGGAATTATCTGCAGTTGTACAGGGGGCATAACTAAGAGTAATGGGATGAGATTAAGAAAGGAAGGGTTTAGGCTGAATACAAGGAGAATATTTCCCAACAATGAAATGGGTCAGGCTGCTGAATAATCCTTCCAGGGAAGCCACAGGAGCACAGCACTTCAGATGGTTACAACTACCCATGACTAAAGCCTGGGTTATGTGCTGCCAGGCATAATGGATAATGTAATTTCTGTCTCTGGCCTCCAAGGTTATTTCCTTTCCATCTCTACAGGAGGAATAACTTATCAAGTAATACATGCTTTGAACATGATGCTCCTTTTGTCAGAGACAAAAGAGCCTCCCAGTTCCCAGCCCTGCCAGAAGTGTCACTGCAGACAGTGGATTAGGGATGCTCCCTGCTCTGCTGGTCACACCTCTTGCCTTTAGGGCACAGTCATTTCTCCCAAATTTCAATCAAAACAAAAACAACTTGGTTTAAAAAAAAAAAAAAAAAAAGGGAGCTGGTTTATTTTGCATTTGTTTTAAATTTGCAGTTAGATAGCATGAAATGTATACATTTAAAACAAATTGACCCAAAAGAAGTGCTGGAAAATAGGGAATGGAAGCTCACAACAAATACCCTTGTTCTTTTGCTCTCTCATTTGCCATGAGACAGATCTGGACTGGCCTCAATTTAACATCAAACTACTCCTTCAGTCAAATCTAGGAAGCTTTTGTACTCCACAAAATCTGTACCTGTCCAGAAAACAGGATTTCCAGTCATTTTCATAGGAGAGTTTCCATTCAGCCTTAATGAGGAAGAGTCAGTCACCCAAACGAGGAAGGCATCAGGGAAGAGCCATCCATTGAGATCTGACTCACTGCATTTACATCTGTAATTAGGGGACTGGGAATGCTCAGCAGCAGCATCAGGTGACAGAACTAGAACAGTATCACCTTCCACAGCTCTTGTGAAAAGCATCAGGTACAATCCCTCAGCAGGGTGGCAGGGCTGGGACATGAGGGCACAGGGGATGAAAGGATGGAAGCACATGTTTCCTGAGGACAGGAGTGCTGAACCTTCGCAGTTGCACCGTGTTTCTCCCGTTCATTAACAGTGGACAGCAGGAGAGCAGCACAGGTCTGAGCTCGGGCATCAAATGGAGATCCCCGGGTGCTGAACATCAGGGGTGAGGCAGTCAGGGAAGAGGGGGATTTCTGAGTCTTTCAGAGCCCCAAGGCTGGGACATGGGAGGAGGAGGAGGACTAGGGAGCTATAATAAATAAACACTCTTTAACACTGGATCTCAGGGATAATAATCCATCAAATCCTAAAGGTTTGCCCTGAGCAACTCCCCAGTTTATGTACAGTGGGTTACTTCCTTTGTGCAAAATCTTTCATGCATCC